CAACAATTATTTTTATTTATTTTAATTTGGTATTCGAATTTTAATATATTATGTTTTAGTCATTAATCAGTAAATATTTATATATTTAGGATAAATATCATATTTAGTCCCTCATATTTTTATATTTAATATTTCAATCTCGAATAACTAATATAGGTTAAATCACACTGTTAGCGCTCAAATTTTATAATATTTCAAGTTAGAGCATTTAAGTTTTATAGCTTATAATTTAATCATTAATTATTTTTACCATAAGTTTTTATTTTATTATTTACACCTATAGTTTTAATTTTCTATATTCTAGTCACATATTATTATTATGTTTAAATTATACTTTTAATACCCATATTTTATGTATTTCGAATTAGGATTTTGAGTTTTATATTTTAGTCACTTATATTTTTAATTTAACCATAAGTTTTAATATTTTGCAATTTAATATTATTGCTTTCAATCTCTTTTATTTTGATCATTATTATTTTTACTTAATATTATATTAATAATAAAATACCATATAATATTAATTTTATTTTGATCCTATACTTTAAATATAGTATTTTATTTATTTATTTATGTTTTATTCACTAATATTTACATGAAATACAATATTATAATTTTATAATAATATTTATTTTTAAATATCAAAGAAAAGAGCAGTCTTAAAGCAACTAGATGTCCTATTCTGATATTTAAAAAATAAATAAATATTTTACTTATAAAAGCCAGAAAAACATATTGTTTTATTAGAGAAAAGTATTATTTTTAATATTTATTTAAATATTAAGAAAGGGCAGTCTTAAAGCAACTGGATGTCCATTTTCTGATATTTTTATATAAATATTTTACTTTTATCAATTATATATATATTAATAGAAATGTTTTATTAATATTTATTTATTTTTTAATATTAAAAAATGAGATGTCTTAATGTACCTAGAAGCCCTTTTCTGATATTTCTAAATAAATAAATATCTTATATATATATATATATATATATATATTAATATATTTTCTTAAAATTATAAATTTGAAATAACAGGATTACAAATTAAATATATTTTTGAATTTTTAAATTTCTAATAATAGAGACAATTTATAATTAATGAGTACCAATTTTGGGCGTTGTGGGGTGCTAATCCTTCCCCAAACGTAATTGACCACGAATCCCTTTTATTATTAAAAAGAACGAATTTTTTGTTAAAACGCATACCAGTTTATATTTTAACTGATGTTTTCTTAAAAACTCGTTTAAAAGATAATTTTAGGTATTCGACCTACCAGACCCAATACACATTAAAACTTGATTTTTTTTTAAATTAAATTCACCACCAAAATATGAAATAATTTGTCTAAATTTTATATTAGTAATGGGATGTTACATACTCTGTTTTACAATCTTGTTAACAAGTGTGTGTATAGGTTGAAGAAAACACAGCTGAGTGCCATTGATGCCTAACTTTTTCCCGCCATGTTCGTTCTCAATCCTAAAACCCTATTCACTTATCCTTTCATACCCAAAAAACCCTCAATTTCACCTCAATTCTCAAACTTTAAGCCCCGGACGTACAGCAAATCCAATCAAATAACCGAAAGGGGTATCCTCTGCGACACCGGCGATACCTTTTTCCTCCACGAAAGCGCCACCTGCCTAGACCTCGGGGCCCTTTCAGCAGCACTCTACAAGCAATCCAAAGGCCAATTAAGAGTCCTCGATCCAATGTGTGGCTGCGGGATCCGTTCCCTTCGCTACCTTATCCAATCGAAAGCCGATTTCGTGTTGGCCAACGACGCAAACGAGGGCCACAGGAGAGTTATTCTGGATAATTTAGGACAAGTTGAGAGGTTTGAAGGTGAATAAAGGAGATGGGTAGTAACGCATAACGAAGCCACTCGGATTTTAATGGATTGTTATTTGCAAAGGGATTACTTTGATTATATCGACTTGGATTCGTTTGGGAATGATTCGTCTTTCTTCTTAAGGGCTGCTTTTAGTAGTTCGAAACTCGATGGATTGGTTTATGTTACTTCCACCGACGGTTTTTCATCAGGGGGTCACTGCCCTTTTCAGTGAGTTTTCTTCTTCTTCTTTTTTAAACCTCCATTGTTTCTTAGATAATGATGTAGGTTCTTGTTAGCATTTCCTTTGATTAATGTATTGTGGGTTCTAATATGATTATTCACTTGTGAATTATTCTTTAAAGCCCTTGTATGCTTCCTCATGAATCGGATTAGGAACCGTAGGTAGCTGCGACATTGGATACTTTTGTTTTAATTCCCTGTGATGGAATAATTATTTCTCTTTATGGGTCTGTATAGTTCATTAGAAGCATATGGGGCATATGTTCGTCCAATGCCATATGCAAGCGAGCTTGGTTTGCGAATCCTTATAGGTGGTGCTGTGAGGGAGGCTTCTGTGCTCGGCTACCGTGTTACTCCACTTTTTTCATACTACTCTTGCCATGGACCTGTTTTCAGAGCCTTACTCCAAATGAATCGAGGGAAGCTACCGGAGAAGAGGTGATGTAATGATGACAGTGTGTTAAAATCTGTCTCTTTTTAGTCTTCTTGTAGTACTAATCTGATGTTTTTATGTAAATGATAGGGATTATGGTTTCATCTGCTACTGTAATCGCTGTGGAAATTCTCAAGCATTTTCAATGGGTAAACTTGGTCAAATAAGTTGTCCTTGCAATAACTCGATAAAAGTATGATCTCCTTTAATGACGTGTGTGCATTTAATTTTGGTTTTGTCCTCTCTCTTTCTCTCTCTCTGCAATGTCAAAAAATGTTCACTTCTATAACTACTTAAGCAGGTGTATGCTAAATTTTTCTGTCGATTTTTGTAGGATGCTGCATCACTTGTTGTGTCAGGCCCTCTGTGGACAGGACCTCTTCCTAGTGGAAATTATATCATGGAAATGTTAAACTTGGCTGAGGAGTGTGGGTAGGCGGGCAAAGGTGCAGGGACTGGTCTAGAAAAGCTGCTGAAACGGATGTTGGAAGAAAGTGACCCCAGATTACCATTTGGATATATCAAACTGGATGAGGTCCCTCCCATGGTTTTTATCCCCAAAACATATGCTCTTATACTTGAATTGCCTGATGTTTGGTAATGATATTCACTTCAACTTTATCAGGTGGCAAGTCGTGCAAAAACTGACACTCCTTCCATAAGTTCTATCATGAGCGCCCTTCACAAGGTATTCGAATTATATGGTTTTCTTTAGTCACTAGCATTTGAACTACAATTATGCAGAAAAGGATGTGTTTTGCTCTTATAGATATAAGATTATCATGAGCCCTAGCTTGACTTACTGTTTAGAATGACCAGCAAGAATGTTTAGCAGAATGGATACCTGATTCTAGGAACATGAGGATATGTGTGTCGTTGCTCAAAACCGACAATGAAGTGACAAGTCAGTTTTGTTTTTTGTTGCAGGAGGGATATACTGCAAGTAGATCACACATTGCCTCCAGTGCGATCAAGACAGACTGCCCCATGGGAGGATGCATCAGGATTGCCCAGAAATTACATGGGTGCTGAAAATTACAAGTTTTGAAGTCATGTTAACCTTAACGGTGTGTCTGGATTGAGTAAAATGAAAGGAAAGGTAGGTGAGTCAAGGGGATATTAATTTTTTTAGAGACTAGGGAAAGCTCTTTGTTTTGGGAGGAAAGGAAACTGAAATATATAATATATTTTAGAATCTCAATTTTACCCTTATGAACGGAAGCGGCATCTGGTTCCTTTGCAGTTTAGATGTCTGGTCCTGGATACTCATTTGAAGAAGAAAAGCACAACGCCCTTGAGCCTTGAAGTTGAACACAGCGAAGTGTTTGAGCGGGCATTGCATTTTTAATCGTATGGATAGAGTTGTTCTTTTCTTGTTTCATTTTGGGATCCGATTCTGCCACTCATTTTGTTTGACAGATGGTAATGGAGAGGCAACCAAGTTGGCTTGGATCAGTTGAATCTGAACATTGCCAGAGTCGATGCCTACTTGAATTTATTTGGGTCAAATTTCACATCTAACCAGCACGGTTTCTAAAGCATTTTCAATATAACCAATAAATTCCAGTATCATGCTCTTTGATGCCTACACAACATTTAGAAATGATCTTTTTTCACATAATAATTGCACAGCATATTACTCATACGTGCTATAAGAAACAAGCTTTCCATCCACACGTGTTTGGTTTATCAAGACATTTTAAGTAGAACAATTGGCAAATTCTCTTACTGCGTAGTTTTGAGAAAGAGGTTTACTTTGGATAACCATATGCAACTGAACAGAAATTACGTGATTTCGATTTTCCAATTAGTATTCCCAACCACTCGGAGCTTCTGAATTTAACAAGTATCGAATGCAATAAATCTTCAAAAAAAAAGAATAGTAACATCCTACAATATCCAAGTACTCAAAATTCAAGCAGACATATCTTGAAGCAAAAACAAAACAGTAGTTCATCTTAAGCTTCAAGAGCCTTATGCGCGAGCAGGAACAGCAACTCCAGGACGAGGAGCTTGACCAGGCTTCGGTATATCATCCTGGAAAAATTGAAATAACAAATACAATTAATGTAGTTTCTAAAAGAAGAGAAAAAGCCAATTCCAGATACTCCGTCAATCAGGCACTTGGACTGCTAACTATGCACAGTGTACTGTGAAGTATATTTTTCATAGCAAATGCACTATTCCTTACTGTTGGGAGAATAAAATTTAAAATTTCAGCAACACTAAATCCCCAACACCTACAGATGATCAGCATGCCACTAAAAACGGTAACCACCAAAATTATTTAAATGGATGTTAATTAACAATTCATCCCAAAAGCAATTAAAATTTCAGCAGGAGGAACAAAAGAGTCCCTTGATAAAGACAAAGCAGCACTATAATGATGCACATGGATCAGGATCACTATGTTTCAGATGTGACTAAATTCTACCATCCCTTTGGTCTCTATGGACGATCTCCATGTATAAATCATATTAGTTCTAAGGTATTTTCAATTCGGCATGATCAATAAGCCACTAAAAAAGGCCACTGACAAATTGATTTAGATGGACATTTTGTATGAGGGACTTCTTCATCCCTAAAGCAATACTGCAAGAAGGGGAGTCATAAGTCCCTAAAGAATTATATCCTCATAGCATATCAGAGAGAATCGTTCAAATGCTATACGCAGATAAAAATCAGCAAAGTCAAAGTTATCATATATATTAGATTCACCACATTTCCGATTCAAGAATGAACATAAGACACCAAAAAAGGCATTTGACAAAGTAATCAGAAGGCTATTAGATTTGATTTGAAAACTTCTGCTCAGGGGGGCAGACTAGCAGTCACTGAAGAATTTCGAAAAGACACTTTCATCCATCTATATAATTCACAGGTTTCAAAATCCATATAGGAGTTTAATGGCTCAAATTTCATCCAAGTACCCTACGCTAAATCTAATGATAAACAACCGACAACCCAAGCAAAGCGAGAAGAACAACATTTCATTCAAATAACAAAATAGATCACTGGCAGTGAAAAACATGAAATAATGGATTAAAAAGAGACGTACCCTGCGTCTGACAAAGCGCTGGGGCGGGTCACGGTTCCTTCTGTCAGTGCGGGATCGGACCCTCACAACGTGGGAATGGATCGCACACGAAACACAGTATTGCATCTTCACATACAGCTTTGGCAAAGTGTACTCTACATAACTTTAATAAGACAATAAATCCAAAAAATAAGTGATAAAATGAGGAATTTTGGTTATAATCGAGTAATTAAACGAAAAATTACAGTCATAGACGCAGGCTTCCTGGACATCCCTGACAGCAGCTTGCTCCACAATGTTCCTCACAAGAAACCTCTTGATTGACTTGTCCTTTACACATTCGAAACAAAGAAAAAAAAGAGAAAACATACATAATTAATAAATAAATAAAAACAAGGGCCCAGGTAAGAAAAACTGAGATACCTTAGGGTGCGTTTGGTTCACGGAATGTAAGATTATCAGTGGGAATAAAAGATTACCAGGGAATAGGATTACTGGGAATGTTGTATTTTATGTTTGGTTGGTTTAGCAGGAATGTAAGATTACCGTGTTTGGTCAAAGGAATAAAAGATTATTGGAATGTATATTTGACCAAATTGTCCTTATTATATATTTGTATAATATTACAAATTGTAAAATATTTATATATTTTCTTTAAAAAATTAAATTCATAATATTTATATAATTTTTTTACAAAATTAAAAATATAAAAAATATTTAATGAAAGGGTAAAAAAAATGTAACCCCTAAACTTCATATAAAATTTTAATTATAGATTTTTTTTTGTAAATCTAAAATAATTTAAGGATAAATTTGTAGGATAAATTTGTAATTTAACCTTCGTAGAATTTTTATTATTCAATGACAGAAGAAGGATATTTTTGAAAAAAAATAAAAAATTTAAGGGCATTTTAGTCCAAAACACCGGTAATGTTACAATACCTAAGGGAAGGGAGGTAATGACATTCCCGGTAATATACCCCAAAAAATCTACTATTGGTAATAAAACATTACCGGGAATGAGATTCCCAGCCAACCAAACATGGGAATGTGGGATTCCCATCCCATGGGAATCCCACATTCCTTGAACCAAACACCCCCTTAGGGTAACATTTGCCACAGTTAGAGCAGCGGATGAACTTGACATGGCAACGGCCATGTTTGTTGCGGCCACCATTCCTACGCTTGAATGTCTACAAAACAATAACGATCCAATCAAAATGATCAAATTTGTGAAAACAAAATTAAATTTTAAAAACGACCCAGAAGCATAAGTAAAGATAAAATCAATGTCGGACCATAGTTAGAGGGTTGCCGTCAAGTGATTTTTCGAGGCTCTCTGCTTCCGCTAGCTAACTTCTAGGGTTTCGGCATGTGAAGTAAGGGCAAGATTTAGGGTAAGTGTTGTTTTTATACTATGGGGAGTCCGCCTCAGGAATCTCTAATTTTTCACTTGCACATAAAAGGTAAAATTATATTCTTAATACCTATATTATATACTAATTGCAAATTATGTCCCTATACTCTGATTCGACAATCTTTTCAAATTTTGTTCATAACTCAATCAGTTGCCATCAAATCCGATAATCCAAAGTTTGCTACTCATCTCTAGAATATGTGTAACTTGTGAATTTATTTTTTCTTTAAGTTTATCATTTTTAATTTGTGTTTTAGTATATAGTTCAGGTACACTGTGTTACTATTAAATTTTTGAAAATTTGATTAGCACAAGCACTAAAAAAAATAATGTGTAAACTATCTAAATTGCCTTAAACTTTTATGATATTTGCATTTTTTTCAATAAATTTTTAAAGCTTACAACACATCAATTGAACTTTTAATTTATTTTCATTATGGTCACCATCGTCAACCGCCATTAAAAAAATTGACATGAGACATTAAAATTCATTTTTTTGTTTCACCATCCCCGAAAAAAACCAAACTCCTGTTAGCTCTAGGTATACCCCAATTCTCTAACAAGTTATCATTGCACCCATCACTTTACGAATAATGTCACACTCCAAATATGAGTCTAGGAGTTTTAGCTGATTTTAACATAACTTTTAGATGGTAAAAATCTGAAAATCTAGACTAGATGGTAAAAATCTGAAAATCTAGACTAACTTGTAAAACTTAGAAAGCTCAAAGGTAAATTAGAAGTCTTGGGAGTTAGAGGGTGCATGGTTAGTCTAGTGTTTCTAGAAAACATATGGGATCAAATTGAGCTTGATGAGAAATTAAAGGATAAAAATATAACTTGTAAAAGTTTCAAGGATAATCTGGAAACCCTAATGAAGTTCATGGGGTCCAACCGTGTTTTGCCTCTTCTAAATGTTAACTTAGTAGAAAAACTTAATACAAAAATAAGTGACTAAATTTTGTCTCGAAAAACTTTTTAATGCCTAAATAATTTTTTGTTAAAAATAGGTGTCTAATGTTTACTCAGTTATACTTTTAGGTGTCTACCGCTTAATTTTTAGTTTTTAATAATAAAAATATTATTTTTTTAATTAAAAATAAAAAAATAAAAAAGGTTTAATTTATTTATTAAAAAAACCCACTTTTTTACTAAAATATAAAAAGAACCCCTAAAACGGTCATCGGCCATCTTCGACCACCATCGTCATCACAAAATGGTTGGGTTTTAATCGAAATTGCATGGTGGTTCGAATGGTGGCTGCGGTGTGGCTTATGGACATCGAAATCAATCAGAATCGACGAATAACGACGACGATGGTTTGAAAACCGACGAACCTTTGAATGTTTCTCTACGACAAACGGTGGTATGTTACGACGAAAGGTCAACAGGATTTCAATCGAGGGTCGACGCTGGTACCAATGATGGTGGCGATGATGGTCACCGTTGATTGACATAGAAGGGGGAAGTGTGGGGGGGGGGAGAAGGTAACAATTTTTTTTAATTTTAAAATTAATTCTCAAAATTACCAAAACGTGACACGTGTCACTTAACGGTGATTTTTAACGACATAAACCTAAAAATATAATGTTATAAACATTAGACACCTATTTTTAGCGAAAGATTCTTAGAACGAAAATATTTTTTCGAGACAATTTGGACACTTATATTTGTATTAAGCCTAATAGAAAAGACGATGAAAGAAGTGATTCTTGAATATGGAGGGGGAGGGGAGGGGATCATACCAACGCCCCAAGCCTTGAGTTCATCATAGTGGCCATTAAGCTAATGATCACTTTAGTAAAAGAAGGCAGAGATATACCTTGATCCCCTAGATAATATTTCAAACTTAATCCCTTGATCTAAAATTATAAAATCACATTTTGACCTAAAGTATTACAAAATAAAACAAGAATAATATTATAATTTGACCTTTCAAAAATTTACAATTTAATGTAACCCTTCACATGGATACAACAGAACTTCCAGAAGTGCAAGTGAAAATATAGGATCATATCTAGTTTTATAACTTCACATGGATACAACTACGCTTTTTTAAAAATTCAAGTGAAAGATTAGGATCATGTCTAGATGCATCAATATTTATGCATAATAAGTAGGATGAGAGGGGATCAGCCAAGGCAATTCATCATTGTTTTTATGAACCCCAAACTCAGATAAACTACCAAGAATAACGAAGAAACAGCCATCCATTCAATGCACTTTCGTAACATTGATCAGCTCCGGAAGCGGGAGGATGAAGAAGAAAAACCCAAAAGCAACGACCAAGTGCAACTAGAACACAACTTCCAAGTTTTAAGCATAAAGCTTAATATTATTAACATTCGTACTAAGGCATACACTAAGAAAAGTAACTCCGAATGTACATCATTCTCTTATTCTTCTTATTACTCTGTTTGCCATTGCCAACCAAACGACATGCCTCTTAATTACATCAAGCTCAAGCACTTTCTTTCTCGTACACTCCATTTGCATATTTCCAATTGATGACCTTCCATATGTTCTTCAGGTAATCTGGTCGAACATTCTTGTACTGGCACAATAAAAACATAAATTACAGAAACACATTATAATAATATATATATATATATATATATAAACAGAAATCAAAGAGAAATATTCACAGCGGATGTCGTCATTATAACAGAGCAATGAATAAGCTAAATTCTAGAAGAAAAAATCCACCCCTTCCTCCTGCTCACCCGTAGTAATATATATAAAAAGCAAGATATATGACTGAGATTCTTAACTGGAAACAAGATATATGATGCACTCATAAGCTTATTTATGCAAATGAATAAAGTTTATTGAATGCGACAAACCAAAAAAGGTTTTATATGTATATGTTTCAAAACTAAAAAAAGGGTGAAAGTTACGTAAATTAAATCAAAGGATCATTGATAACAAGGCTGCTTTGGCATTGTCTTGATCTCCCATATACATATACTGATCTTTGATTCACATTTGAGCTCATATTATAACAGCAAAGTTTGAAAATTTACCTGTAAATAATATGCATGCTCCCAAACATCTATCCCAAGCAAAGGAACTAAATGTGCCCCTTTAGTCACAAGTGGGTCCTGCAGCAAAGATTTCATAATTATAGTAGCATGTG